TTTACTGTATGGCACCTTAAATTTCGGCTAACTGAATATTGGTGAAATCCGGTGGTACGAAAATGAATGCGGCTGCCTCTCGATCAACCTGAAAGTAATTACGTGCTGTTATTATCAGAGTATTTAAAGCATAAGCGACGGTGCTTTGGAGACATGCGCCAATTCGTGTAGTAAACAGCTATAAGCGTGAACCAGATCCTTTCGCTTGTCGTAATGCACCAGAATGTCCGCGGATGCCATAAGCTTCTTGACAACATTGAATGCATTTCCGTAAACCCTTCTCAAAATCCTAGTTCAGTTTTTGCGTAGGAGTTACTGAAACGGATGCAGATGGGTTGCCATAGTTAGTATAGACTCGGAAAACTGGGTGAAGGACACCTACGTATAGTTGCAGTTTATAAAATTTATTGGGTGCTGGAGCTTCAATTAACAGTCTGTTCAGTTGACAGGTACAGCCATTCTCGTGATATTCGATGTACAGCTTACTGTACACTCCGTACGAAGAAGTAGCACTTTTAGAACCCCACTGGTATCTGATGATATTTTCATGATGAAACCCAAATTATGTATAAGTGAAGTAATACGGCTAATATTGGGAGGGACTTCTGGAGAACTGTTTCTATGTGGATTATTATATCGATGGATTACACTCGAACGTCCATGCTCTAGCTGGCCATCTGCAGCCTTGGCTTATAAAACAGGTAATCCAGCACAAAGTAACTCATCTTAAGGGCTGTTTTTCGATGTATACAGTGTGGACATTCAAGCTACCTAATTCATACCATCTGCTGGTTTTTGAGTAAATCACTTTTTCATCGTCAGGGAAACCATGTCAGTTCGCGATGCTTGGGTATAATTATTATCGTTGTAAGGTTATATCCGTCAACTCTGGAGATCGACCCAGTCGTGATCAACGGTGGAGTGAAGCAGCATATAAAATATGCGCGCAAGATTGACCGACCATATTGTACAGGACAAGTGTCAAAAACAGATGACTGCTCGAAGTATCGAAATGCGCGATAGTTCTGAAAATATTTTTTATCGGTAACATCATTTGCTTGCGTTCGAAAAGGACGGAAATTGATTAGGAAATGCAATAAGAGCTGCTCTAATCCTGCACTGTCTCTTCCGCGTCAGAAAAAGAAATATGTAACATTACAACGCATAAATGATTAGTTTATATCTCCATATTGCGAGACACGGTTCGTGGGGTTAATCTGAGCACATTCGTTATTGAATCATCACGAAGGCTTTCCGTTCAGTGTGATCAAAACAAGTGTTCACGAGTTAATATATCAGCGGTTCTGCCACACAGGGCAGCCGATATGTGTAGTGAGTGATACCGAAGTTTTTCGACAATCACTCCGTAAGTTGTTAATAGATCCCTCCCAACAGAATTGGAAGTAAGCTAGGAGTGTCGAACGAGGTTGTTTTCTAAACAAAAATGTGCTCGAGGTGGGTTGACTTTCAGTCAGCGAATTTTATCAGTTGAATATGGCGCTTAGCCCTTCTTCATACAACGTGGCTTTACACGCCTCTCATTTCGGCATATCCTTCGTTTTATTTACTGTCAATTCCCTGTTAACCAGAGCACGAAACGCACTCTTTGAGTCACGCTTTCTCACATACTGTGGTAATTTATTCCACTTCACTGCATAGCGGTTAGGATAGAAATTGAATCTTAGGCTGGTTCTATTCATCTCGATTTGCTATCTCTATGCTATTTCTATCCCTTATATTGCACTTAGGCGAAGGTTGCAGCATCAGTTCACTATCTGAAGGAATGACTCTTTTGTTGATTATATCATACATGAACTTCTGATTAACTTTTATTCTCCTTAACCAGAGGGATTCTAAGTTCATCTCACAGCAACGGTCGTAGTAGGTACAATGACCAGATTTTCACATTAGGCGCTGTAAATTTTCTAGTGATATTCTATCACTTTTTCTCAGCTTGGAGTATATTAATGGGCAATATTGGAGCAGAGGACGAGTACTCGTGTAATACAGGTAGCTTTTGGATAAATTTGATATGAAGGATTTTGGTTTTAGCCCTCCTAGTTTACGGCCTTTCACAACAATCTACTCTCACTGTTCAGCGAAATTGAAGGAGCCTGATTAGTGTATCCCAAGATCACGAATTGTGAGAAAGGTGGACAGTGCTTTGCCTTATAGCATCAAAGATTTTGATGAAATAAGGAACTGCTAACATATGCAGCTACACTTCTAGGTTGAGAGTCCTATTCTATGTTGGTGTGTGCACGTTATTCCTCGTCGAGCACAACTTGTTGCTAGGCATTGGTGTGCCGTTGTCACACCCAGCATTGACCGTGTGACTGTGCAGATTACACACATACCAATGACTTGGTCTTAGTCACTTGATCGAGGTTCTGTACACCTTCTGGCCAGAATACACGTTTGCGTGCTGCCAGCTGTTGTCCTTGCGTCTTTCGGCTACGAGACAATACTACGTTAGCATGCTAGCTTTAGCTCCGCACGTGTAGACTTTAACAATGGACAATATTTAATTTTGTAAATTGCTCATTGCAAGAAACTGAAGCGTAAGTAGTATTATATGCTTTTCTGAGGATATCTGTCTAGCCGTAATATCCAGCTGATCTTAAAATGTTAGTACCCCAGAAAGTTATGCCAACGTCGTTCTTCAACAATTTCACCATAGGGGATAATCAGTCAGAATAATGAAGTGCTTAAACTGTACAATCCGGCTAGATTTAGTGCAGTACACTCTCGACCTTTTCACGAAGAGCGTAGGGAACAACACCAGCTGTTCACAACATAAATGTCACCTGTGGCTTCAACAATACATGCGAGGCGCAATTATTCAAATGATTTGGTCTGGACTGATCCAAATAAACCAGATGCTTATGCAGATTCTCAAATGCCTGCGATAGTGGTTAGACCATCAATTTCCTCGAGGTAAAATGTGTGTTTGCTCAGCCCTCTAGATAAGCATACACATATGCTTTGTTGAAATGCGATAAGAGATGCGTGAAGTAAATTACGACCAACACATTACTCATCTGTTTCGTATGAGATCACAATTTTAGGTTAAGTTGAACTATGGTGGTAGCCGTGATAAGGCAATCGGTCATTATAATGTAACTGCGGAACCGCTATTTATTTCAAAATGCACTGGTTGATCTTTCATCATGACAGACAAGACAAATGGATCTTCTGCCGTTATACTGTGATTAAAAAATTCTGTTTCATTAGTTTAGTTACGTTAGAAGATCACGGTAATGTAGTTGGATGTTCTATGTTGTTCATTCGCAAGCGGTTTTAATTTGGAAAGACATGCCTTCTGAATTTGACCTTATTTACAACAAAAACTGCGCAACAAATAAATTGCTGACACTCATTCGCGGCTAGGTGACACTGACGGCAGCGATGGCGACGAAATTCTTTGAGCTGCACTTGCTGAAGTGAAGTGTTTCCAGTTTGTATGGAAGACTTTATTTACCGCTGATATATGGGAAATGTAGCTGGTTACTGAACGATGTTGGCACGCTGTAAGAATATAACACAGGCTTTTTTCAACTCAGACGAGTTCCTTGTTCGCATGGTAGCCATTTTCCTTCGTGTGCTTCGAGCGCACACATAATGCATGCATGCCTAACCCTTACCTCATCGAACTTGGTCCGTAGATCCTCTTACTGAACGCAATCAAAGGAGGGCAATACGAACTCGAAAAATTATTCACACTCGCCAACGTCCATTATCATATTGTGTTGCATTTGTCAATTTCTCTCAGCACATGTGGTTCCCAAAAAATTTGGTCAAGTGAAGAGTGCACAGATCGTGGGTCATTTTTCGATGTAATTGCAAGCTGTAGAAATGTCGCTAGCCCTGTTACAGAAACAACCAACTCTAATTCGTTTATACGGAAACACATACAATCACACACTCCTACTCAGCATCAGCAGCACTTCTGGCAGAATAGTGGTGGATGGACCACTGACGGTATCAGCATTTGTATGTTTGTACACTTACTGTTTTGCTTCTATCTGCATAGTTGGCACCAGTGGGTGCCCTCTACACATTCTTGTGAAAACATTATTCCCCGTTCACTCCTGTCATAAACAATCGCAAACTGCCTATGCAACCGAGTCTGGTGTCCCCCAACGTCAATCAAATTAATGAACTCATGATTGCACCAGACTAACTGATTGTGCGTCAATGTACATTCCATCCATCGGCCATCATTTTATCCACAGTTATTTTCGTATCCACTTTGTATTACAGTGCCCCGGAAATATCCTGCGTTGCTACTGTTACCTGATGCAGCGTTATATCTTTTATCCCAATATCACGCCACCTTTTCGCACAAATGAATACTCCGATGCACCGGCTTCCCTAAAACCAACTGCCCTCCTGATTGAACCTAGGACAGCTGTAATCTTCCTCGATACAATCACCCTTCCGAAACCAGGTGAACTAAGTGATTTGCTGGATCCACTCCTTTCAAGGAATCAGCGACTGTGATAGTTGCTTTGAGTCCTACTGGGAGAATTTCCCACTGAAACATTCATTTGCCCAGTCGTGTTGCTTGTTTGTCGGCCACTTGCCCAAAGCTTTGAAATTTTACCTTTGCCACTGCCGGCAACCTGTCATCATATTTCCACTCTATCTCAATGGAAGTAGTGTCGCATTCATGTAGCAAAATACAGTAAGAATCATTGCAAAATCTGTTGGGTTCCAGTCGGTATCTGCTTCACTACTTAACTGGCGCACTGTTGCGTAGGTTGGATTTTCATGACACGAAACCATTATCGAACGTAAAACAGCAATTTCGTATTGATGGCGCTGCACTCCATAATGTCAAACCGTGGTCCAGCATGTGAACTTCTCTCCACACATATGGAATTTTCCATGTAAGGCAAATCGGTATTCTGCTCTAAATAACCGATATCGACAAATACGTCAACGGATAATCTTCAGCCTGCCATGCGCTCATCAAATGGCCTTTCTCTTCCTATTCGATGCCACACACATTTTTGTCCCAACCCCAGCTGTCACACCTGCTCGCTTCTTTTATGCAAATTACACCATGGGTTAACTATGTCCGACGATTTTCATTCACCACATCGCACACACCTGCCCCGGAGCAAATTATACCCAATGAAGCCAACCGTGAAACTGATGCATTGCTGTACAACGAACTTTACAATGGAGGCAAATGTCTGACCCAACATAAGAGACTGGGAATTCGGTTGTGGAATATGGCTTGGTGGTCTGTTTATTCATTCGCAACTACTGTAACTTTCACTCACCAAGCAAACAATGTGAAGACCCGGATTTCCAGCACAGAGAGGGTAATGTTTAGATATGCTGGTATTGCATTTCGTTATCCATTTGAACAGCATGCCTGCCAAATTCCGGTTTAGTAATTGTGTGTCACGAGAGCTTTGTGAGATTAATAAATTATGCCCATTCTGATGATAAAAGGAAAATCGAGGAGAAATTTTGTTTCCATAATATTCCCCACGTAACTAAATTTATGATATTCACAATCATTTTTTAAAGCTACTAATAGCGATGTATTGCTCTGTCGTAAATACTGCGACCGGATTGACAGGGGCAATCGATATCCACTTGAATCCACTACCAAAACGGGCCAACGTGCTGTTTGAAATTTCGAAAAAGCTCTCTCGCTGTTTGGCCCCAGAAATAAACTTGGAATGATATTTTAACGGAAACTGTGTAACGAATTTACTGTGTTCCGACAGCTAATGTATCACGGAACCTTAAGCATGCGGATTTCTCGTCCCGTTTTTCGGTCCTAATTTCATATTTATCATCGCATGAGTTCGTTCCAGCATTTGTTCAATTTAGTTATTCATTTTAGTCGTACTAATTCACTGTGTTTATTGTTTTGGTTACTATTGTTGCACATTGTATTGCAGTTATTCTTGCGATTATTTTTTCTTATTTCTCTGTCATATATGCGTCGTACTGTTTTGCTTTTATATCGCTAATTCCGAGGTTTGATTGTTAGATGTTAATTTATCTATTGCAAATGTTGCTTTTTCTACCGATCACTTTGATAACTAGATATCCTAAACATGGCCGCTATCTACAAATGTGACGAGAACAGTTGGGGCATTGCTGTAAAAGACGGAATTCAATGCGACAGATGAGTGTTGTGGTACCATAACAACTGTTCTAGGTTGGAGCAGGTATCCAGTGATCTGTACACCGGACATCCCAAATTGAATTTATTTGCTTCCACAGTGTACCTTTAGTGGACACTTGCGCTCATTTTGTACGTGGTAGATTATTTGATCCCATATCGTACGCCACTAAGGATCAGGACAACGATGACAAACACTACTTATATAGACTCACCCATGCTGGAAATATGACTGGTGACCAGAGTTTACGCATTGGTTCCTTGCATGCAGGAGTTAATGAATTGAGGTCATCTTTGGAGTGTTGCGTACGCAATGCGGAACTCGCTATGGGCAGACAACTAGACATCCGTATTTACAACATGGAAAGGGCACTGCTACAAGAAGTTAAGACTAGACGTGATTTAGAAAAGAGTCGGATATACGATGTTCTTCGAATAGGCGGTCACACTTTGAATGTCGGTATCAAAATGATAGATCGGTTTGACAATTGAAGGGAAGCAGGAGCATTGCGCAACAAGGACTTCCTAGGCCCATACTAGTAGAGTTCAAAAATCGTGTACAACGTGAGCTCCTACTAAACAGGACAAGGTTAGAGATGAGTCATAAAAAGGCAGGTATCAAGTTGTACCAGACACGCTTATTTTGAAGCTTATACGCCCGCGAACAAACAGACGTAATGGCACTGAGGCTAAATTATTTACTAAATCTACGACTGTCAAGAAGGTTCACGAACCTCATGTAACAATTAAACTTGCGGTGCTAGCACTAGGTTTATTTCCACCGCTGACAGTGGAAAATCGAAATATAGTATTGGACGCAGTATCAACTTTGCCAGAATGCAGGCAGCTAGAGCCATCTGAAACCACAATCTCTATAGAGGTGGCGTCGCTATCTGCGGGAGTGGCGCACACTTCTGCCCCCAGAGTACTGGTACGTTGAGAAGCGCGCAAAGTTGCGCAAGGTAAACAAACTGATGAGAGAAGGAGTAAGGTAACTGAGTTTACTCAAACACCAATTGAAAAGCTGGTAAAGGATCCTACTGTAAAAGCACGTAGGTCAGTCCAAAAAACCGAACTTATCCCGTGGGCGTCTACCAGAACCAGTCAGTGCTCCCGCGAAACTGGTTATTAGAGTAATCAACCACTTAACAAATGTTTAAAATACGGATTATCCCCTCGGGTACTTCGCTCGAGGGGTACTGTAAAACAGTTGCGGTAGACGGAGGAAATGTAGAGGGACTAAGTGTGTGGTGCACCAATAGTTGTAGCATAATGAATAAATGGGAGGAACTGTCGGTAGGCGGCAAGTTATCTGATGTGATTGAGATTACTGAAACCTGGATGACTCAGGGTGTTACAGTCGGTGACTTAACGTCGACTATTCAGAGTAGAGATTAAATAGACCTGGATAACAGGCAGGTGGTGGCGAACTTCTCCTTATAAACAGCCAATATGGAAATTGGAAAGCTCCGTTCCTTATGAAGACAAATGTTATCCAAGTTGTTTCTTGCTTTCTGTGGGTGGGAGGCCGGCTAGAAATAAAATCTGTGGGTACCGTAGCCCTTCCTCTACGCAAACAGAAAATGTGGAACTTCTTAGTTTTCTCAAACGGGCAGCTGTTACTGCGCCAAACTTTGTGATCACTTGGGATTAACACATCCCACACGCAGATTGGGAGCATGCTTCTAACACCGTGGAAAACGAAATTGTAAAATGGGTGCAGGGAAATGCCTTCTTCCAGTTGGTTAACTTTCCGACAAGAAAGCGTCCTGATTGCGTTCCTTCAACGCTAGATGTTGTACTGTACAAATATGGCCACTTGTTAAATGGGCAAGTTAAGGCTTCCATAGGTAAAACTGGCCAATGTGTCATTACCTTCCTTCAAATACGAAAAGCCTCTCAGAAAATTACCGGCTTGTGAGCAACGTTGGTCGCATCGACCTAAACATGTTACGAGCTGAAGCACTGCAGCTCAGTTGGGTTCCTGAATTGGATCAGGCCACATTAGAACAAATATGGGGCTTGGTCACGAGTGGGCTTGTTCAGCTATTAGACGAGTTCTCTCCTCTGCGCCCCAGACAACACTCCTTTAAAACAAGATCGTTCAATAAAAAACCCCAACATTTTTTGGAACAGGTTTCAAGAATCAGGAAAATTTACCCTTTGGCTGCGGTGTAAGAAACATCGCAATGCAGCAACAAGCGAAGTATTATCATGAAGTCAGACTGGTCCAAAATCTAAAAGCAATATCGAAGATGTATTATAGTTAGGTTCAGTCCAAGTCTTCTTTAAGGCGAGGATTTTCTAATTTACTAGCCCATGACTTGGCTCTTCTTCTCCATTGACATGCATTTTTGCTGATGAGCTAACGATCGTCAGCATGGTTACTCGAGCTATGTTTTTCAAGGACCTTCGCACCGTAGTGAACTGTTGGTTAAATGGGATTTGTGTTTAAACGACAGCAAATGCCAGTTACTGAATTCTCGAAATGACGTGATTACGGTGCGAACACCTGTCGGGCCTCTGAATTTGTGACAAGCAGATGTGGCATGAGACTTAGGCCTCATTGTTGCGAACGACTTCAAACATTCAGCGCGATGTACACATGCTGCTAATAAAGCGCCAGATGAGTTGTTTCGCCTCAAAAGGTCTTTATACAGCATTATTGCTGAAGATTTTCTCCCATTTTAAAAAGCGGTGGTAAGACCTCATCTAGAATACTGTGTACAGGCTTGGGCACCGTACCACCGGAAACACGTGGTCTGTATAAAAAAGTATAAAAATTGGCTACTAGAATGTTTGAGGGTCAAGGTGACAAGACGAACGCTGAATGCCTAAGGAACGTAGGTCTGTATTAACTGGAACGGCGCAGACAAAGATGGAAGCTAATAGAGACCATTAAAATCATGAAGGCTTTTAGTGATATATAGTATACTGAACTGTTTGTGCTGGCTGCGTCACATCATCCGCGAGGACACCAACTCTAGCTCAAGCATCAGAGATCTAGGCTGCAAATCAGGGTGAAATTCTTTGTGAATCTTGTAGTCAATAAAATGAATAAGCTACCTCCAACAATATTGGAATGCAGCACCGTAGAGGCATTTAAAATAGGACAAGATAAGTGTTGGTCTGAATTTTTCCAGCATTATTGTTATTTTGTTTCATGTCGTTGTAAACTCATGCTGCGTGACAGTACAGAGAATGCTTTTGTTTTCGCTTCAATCTTTTGCAGAAGCCGCGAAATAAATCAGAAGTCAAAGTACCGGGGTTCTTATTCGCTTACCGATGCAAGAAACAGGATGCTTATTAGAGGGAGGTCTGTATCTTCCCCATACCTGACTTATACTTTGCACAAATACACTGTTTACAAAGTTCCCGATTGAGTTGCTTGGCCGCAACCGCTTCTGCTGTGGCCAGTAGGCGCTTCCTGAGTCCTTTTAGGCATCGTTTTAATACTATACGCACTATTTTGAAGGCATCGTTCTTTTGTAATTCATGTCCACTATCTACCAGGAGTTCTAGCATGGAGCTCTGGAGATTCCTAGTAGTACCACGGTACAATGAGGCAGGGCAGCGTTCCGGCATCCGCGTTGACATGCCTCTGGTAGTGAGTCCGATGAACCACATACTACAGGTTTATGTGAACAGTTATAGAAGAAAAGTTACGGACTGGGACAGAATTATGTCTTCAAGGCGGTTGGTGATGAGCGGAACGGTTTCGGCGAGAATGCGGACTCTGGCGGCGGAGTAAGCCAGGTTCAGGGCGGAAGTCTATTTTCTACACAAGAGCGCGAACTGAGTGTCCCCTATAAAAGGCACTGAGAGGAAAATATATTTCCTCTCACGGTTCATTCGTCTTAGTCTCATCTCGGAACTGTAAATATTTTCTGATGATTGTCGTTGGATACCTGTTGCAGTACAGTGTCATGAGTATGAAATCATTTTCCGATTCCAGCGTCTCTGGGCTGCAACTACTTGTAGCCCGCTGCTGCCGGTTACGTACCGTTTTGCTTGTAATTTATCGGTACGGAACGGTGGAAATGCGCGTACTGACCTAACAAGGTCGCCGTTCGGAAAACCATTCTTTCAAGCAATAAATCGCAGCAAAACCCCCGAGAGATTGGCAGATATAACGGGCATTTTCAACGAGTATGCAATCAGCAATTGTCAGTCGAATACTGCGGAACCCATCAAAGAGTACACATTCTTTTGCCTTTAGGCAGACAGCTTTAAAGATTTCAGCAGCAT